TTTTTTTTTGTTTTAAGACATAAGTTTACAAACAATACAACTAATGTTATCTTTACATCCATTGTTATATGCAATATCTCTTATTAATGAAGATAATACTGGTGCAGATTCATTAGACTTTTTTCTACAAATTTCTCCAACTGATTCATTTGATAATACATCAAAAACACCATCACAACATAATACAATACATATATCATCTATTCCTCTTTCATGACAAGTAATTTGTGGAATACAACTACAAACTGATGAACATTGAATATCACCTAAAGTTCTAGTTAAGACAATTTCACCATTAACTTTAGAATGATCAATAAATCCATTTAATTTACGAATTCTTTGAACTTCATCAGGATTATTAATAGTATGATCTTCATTAAATATAATAATTGAATCTTTTTTAACAAGAATACATCTTGAATCACCAACGTTAGCAATAAAATATCTTTGAGGAGTAATTAATACTACATTTGCAGCAGTTCCATCATTAAATTTATATTCATTAATTTTTTGATTCATTTCTTTAAATGAATGAATTAATGCATCTTCAATTGATTGTTGAGGATTTTTAGATAAAATATTTGCAAAACAATTAGGGAATTGTGAAGCACAAAAACAACTTGAATAAATTCCACTATGTCCATCAAATAATGATAATAAATGAAATCCAATTCCTAAAAAATTAGTAATAACAACTGATGTATCTTGCATTGAATCTCTTTTACCACACATATTTGATATACCAATTTCAACAGGACATTCAAATGAATTTTCTTCAAATTGAGGAGAAGATAAAGGTAATTTAAGTTGATTACAATAAGCAGATTTTAAAAATAATAAAGGAGTATGAATGATAGTTTGTGGTTTATTTCTATCTCTTTTTTCTGTATTAAAACATGATATTTCAAAGATATTTAATTGTTTAATAAAATTTACATTAAGAGGATATTTTATTTCAGGTAATGTTCCAATAAAATTAATATTTTTTAATTGTTTCATTAGAGTTAATTCTGATGGAATATGAAGATTTTTATTAAATGCCATTGAAAGTGATTTAATTGTTGTACATTTAATAAGAGGAAGTGCAGAAATAATATTATTACTTGAAAAGTCAACAACTTGAAGATTATTTAATTGACTTAAATTTTTAGGTAAATCACAAATATAATTATGTGTTAAATATAAATTTGTTAATGATGTTAATTTTAATATATTTAATGGAAATTCTGTTAATTTATTATGTGATAAATTTAATTCTTCTAATTGATTTAAAATACCAAGTGAAGTAGGTATTGTTGTTAATTGATTAATACCAAGTTTAAGTATTTTTAAATATGGAAGAAATGTAAATAAATTATTTGGTAATTGTGAAATTCCATTATTACTTAAATTTAATTCTTTTAATTTATTATAACTAATTCCTTTTTCTGGAAAAGATGTTAATTTATTTGAAGCTAATGTTAAAATTTTAAGGTTTGAATGTAATTCAGTTTGTTCTATTTGTTGAATGAAATTATTAGTAAGATATAATTCATGAATTGTTTGAAGATCTGTTGTATTTGGTATTTTTTTTAAATGATTATTACAAAGATTTAATGTAAATACATTGTCATTTGGTGTACATTTTATTTCTGTTAATTTATTATTTTCTAACATTATACAACAGTTATTTAATGTACAACTAACTTCTGTAATTAATGAGTCAGTAATAATTAAATTTGAAATCTTTGGCATTTTTCTTAAAAATGTTGGAAATTCATTAACTCTACTTCTAACAATAACAAGTTCTTGAAGATTAGAAAGTGCTACAATTTCTTCTGGAATTCTTTGAATTAAACAATCAGTAAATGCAATTTCTTTAAGTTTTTTTAATTCTTTAATTTCTGGTGGTATTTTTCTAATTAAATTATTATCTAATTCTAATGAACAAAGTTCTGTTAAATTAAATATTTGTTTTGGTATTTGAGTAAATTTATTATGAAGTAATTTTAATTGATTGAGATGTTTTATTCCTTCAATTCCTTTTAATTTATTCAAATTATTATAAAACATCCATAATGTTCTAATATTTGATAATTTCCCAAGAACTTGTGGAAAATTATCAAAATTATTATTACTAAGGTCAACCTAAACATAAATATTTCTTTTCTT